TCAAAATTATTTTATGGTAAGTATTAAATTGAATTTAATAATAGTGCATAATACACACTTCTGTTAGTTTCTTAAAGTGAAATTACAAGCATGAAGTTGGTTGTATGGATAATTGCTTTATTCTATTCATTTTTTTTTTGTTTGCTTATAGGTCCTTAATTTTGTCTTTGATGGTCCTTAATTTTCATGTAAGGAAATGTGTACGAACCCTGTAGTAGTTGTTGTAATAGTAATAATAAATAATTATTACAACAACATGCAATGAAGGAGTAACAGAAGTAACTAGTGCAAAACTACATATGCATTTTGATAGCTGCTAATGCTCCAGATTTCATCATAAATCTGGAGCAATTCAAGCAACTTTTAATTAGTTACTATTACTTCCTAGCCTGTAAGACACATTGTGATTTATCAGATTAGAATTTATGGAAATTACTTGGATCATACAGAAAAGGATCAAAGTAATGATAACAATTTGCACAACGAAAACGGAACTGTTACATTAAAAAATTAGCAAATATATCAGCATTTATTTACCATAGAATCTCAGAAATTCATCATCCCACTTTTGCTAAAATCATATATGCAGTTATTTTCACTGTGGTTGTCATTGTCACTTTCATCGTACAAAATGTCATTTTTACTTCAAATTTAGCGCATTGCTAATTTCACACTTTTTAAAAGACTATGATAGTCTCACTTAACTTTCTGCCAAAACTTTCTCATCCACTCACAAAGACTAAAAATTGATCACTGTTTTATTCTTCCTGTCGGTATGACATCATGAGTTGGCATCTCAATGCATTTTTCATGTATAAATTCTTTGAATAGTTTATTAACTGAAACATACAGAGGGTGCAGTGGAGAAGTAAATTCACCAAGAATCACAGCAAGCTGTATCTTCATTTCAGTAGCAAGGATTTTTGCTGACTTTAATATATGGACTTTAATTGATCATACACTAATAAAGATAATTTATTCAGAGGTCCACTTGGATGTAACCTCAGCTTCATACCCTCTATCCATCCTTCGGGATGAGCATGAATACTCTAATAATAGTAAGTCTATATGGAATTGTACATTTAGGCAGCATTTTTCATAAACCTTCAGCATATTATGCAAGAACAGCAGTAAAGCAGGTCTTCTTACCAGAAGTCTTTATTATTATTGTCTTAAACTTCACCATCCACTGTTCTATTTGATGGCATGCCAAGCATCAAAGGTACATCATCCTATTTCCTAACTCAAAACAGTTTCTTTTTGAGTTAATGATGTATTTGTGGAATTCTGTAATCTTTCTTTTAAGTGGCAATTTTTGTGCTATTAGTTCTAGTATGCATGCTCAAACTATTCCTCTTCATGAATTTCTCGCACCATAAATTGTTCCAGAAAAATCGGTAATAGACATATCTATTGCTAATTTTCTGGTATGAAAATAAAATATGTTTTGAACATCTGGCATGAAATTAAAACCTAAACAAATGATATAACATTGCTGTTACACCAAGCCAAGCTAGCCTTTTATTAAACAGGGAAGAATAGTCAAAATGAGTGCTAGCCATTATTTTAGGTTTATAGTTATATATATAAAAAATAATCATTTAAAATAGGCCAAATAAATTACTTTGTCATTTTGGTTATATATTTAGGAAAAGTAAAAAAAATTTTAAAATATTTAAAAAGAAAATTTAAAAATATATGAACTATTTAATTCCATTTGTAGTTAAAATGACTGCTTCTTTAATTCTGTGTTAAATGATGCAAATTTTCACGAAAAATCTTTTGTACAGACTACAAAATCTAACTTCTTATAGAATCTCCATACTTAAATTAATGAAAATTTTATGCACATTATTAAAAATAAAACATAAAAAGCTTGACTCACCTTCAACAAAAAATTAATGAGATATTTAATTTCAAAATGTATAATTTCTGTCGTCAACTTCCCTTTGGGGTCTGTTAATAAATTATAATAATTTGAAGTTTTCCCCCTTAAATGCCCTTCAGTGATATTCTTTTGTTTTGTTAGTGTTTAATAACTTTTAATTCATAATTTTGCTACAACTGGTATGCTGAAAAAACTCTTACATAAATTTTCAAGTTTCCAAATACTAAAGTTAGGTTATTAATATTCTCACAAAGTTTTATGGAATGAATTTAGAATCTCAATCTCTTAGTCTTAAAAAGTTCATGAAATCAATAGTACAAAATGTGCAAAATGTAGAGAATTTTCAAATTATGTCTATTTTTACGAAAATTACTGAACCAAGGAATATGCAAATATTCTGAGTCGAATACGTAAGCACACACATGCATATTTTCAGAGAGGATATAAGCACGCAAAGTATTTTCGGGGATCTGCGTGTTTTGGTGTACTCTTTCACGACACTCGTCGTGTGCCAAGTGTTGTCTGAAATTTGTGAAAACAGTTTCAGAGCACAGGATCTCTATGGAGAAGACCTCAATAAGGTCAACCAAGGTCCACAAGTGAGGAATGAGGATCGTTATTTGGCACTCTCAGTGTGCCAACACAGGACTACTACAGATTCATAGCTATCATGTGAGCTGTATGCTGCCACTGGAACTTGAGGTTCACAGTCTACAGTTGCTCGAAGGCTCTATGAGATAGGCTGTATGCCAAAATACCCAGTGTTTTGCATCCTGCTCACTGCAGTACAAAACAGAGCATGTTTTGCATATTCAAGATTTAGTCCGGATGTAGTTCTTGGAATATCTGTATATGGAGTGACCTTGGAACAGGATACTATCATGGAAAAGGATCATGGTGATGCTGATGTTATAGTTTGGGCAGGCATTATGTTGGACGGCTGCACATCCCTGCATATGTTTGACAAAAGCTTCCCAACTCTCATGAGGTACAAAGTGGAGATCTTAGAGCCATATTCTTTACTTTTCAGGAGCACAGTTGGTCCTGGGTTCCTGTTAATGGATGACAATGCTCGTCTTCACAGAGTTCAACTGATCAACATTAACCTGAAAGTGAGGATATTCACCTCATAGATTGGTCAGCTAGATCCTCTGATTTTAACATTGTAGAGCATTATGGAATGCTGTTGAAAGGGCAATTTCATCTTGCCATCTCCCTCCTAGAACCATCCCGGAGTTAAAAACTGTCTTGCTGCTGGAGTGGGATTGACTACCTCAGGGAACTCCTCGACTACCTCCTATCCAGTATACCGTCATATTGCATGACCTATCTGACTGTGAGAGGGACTATATCCCATATTACTCATTTTCAGTTCAATATCACAACATGGGTTTTGGACATACTTGCACTATGAGCTTTACTAATAATAATCATAGGCACATAAAATGACTTATGGATGGTACATCTCTTTCTCTGTTATAAATCTATATTCATACTAAATTTCATTAAAATTTGTCTATTAATTTTCCAGAAATTCAACATAATATGCAAATTTTCTTAATTTTGCACACACACATTTTTAATTTATGTAAATAAAGTTATGATCTAGCTAGCTATACTGGAGCCTGCCACTGAAAATGAATTATCATTTGAAGGGGGGAAAAAAAAGTTGATCAATATTTTTTATGATAATCTTCATAGAAATGCTTGTCAGTTAATATATTAACATCATAAACCTTTCTCTGAACTAATATTTTAGTTGTGTAGAAATACAAACATTTCTGTTTTCAGTGTGCGTACAGCCCTGATTGGGTGTGGAACTGAGCCAAGTCATACTGTCACCTGTATGGTGCTCAAGGCTCTGTCAGACAAGTGAGATAAGTCACAACACACAACAGATGTTTAGATATATTTTTCCTGATTTTAGTTTCAATACACTGATCAAAGCTTCACACTTTTTAATAGTTAAGACAGATGATTTGAATAACATAGAATCTGTTTTGAAGTCTGTTACCTGCCATTCTGTTCACTCTTGAAATTAAATTCATTTAATTGTTTTTGTTTCCTTAACATTCTAATTATATGCAATGAAATTTTATTTCAACACCACAGTGAAATAGAGTCCTTTACTTGCATCTCTATTCCAGTATTTATCACTAAGCTAAACTACTTTTTATTCTTACATTGTTCCTACTTTAAGGTCTTTACAATGTGCTTTAGATTTCTGTTTCATGAAAGTTCTTGCTGTTGACAGGTTCTTTCTCTGCTACTGATAGAGTTGTAAAATCTTTTTAAGCATTACAATTTAACTTTTTAAGCATTACAATGCAAGAAGCATTGCAATTTAACTTTTTAAGCATTACAATGCAAGAAGCATTACAATTTAACTTTTTAAGCATTAAAACAAATATAACTGATTGTCATCTCATTGCTGTTTCCTATAAATAATAAAAACGCTTGTATTGCTCATATATTAAACTAAATTATTTTTCTTCAATTTATAAAATTCATTGTCTTAGGAGATGTTAATTTAAATTCTTATGAAAATAACTATATTCTTTACTGATGCTATTCAATATACAATGTCAAATTAAGAAAGCATTGGAAAGCTTAAATTTTATGCCAAAAAAGGAGATATATATAACAACTTTTAAGTTGAAGCATTCTTTTAAGAATGTTAAAATTATTAAAACTTCCAGAGATTTCTTTAATTGGTGGATTTGATTTCGTGGAAAGTTTTCATGTTTCTAAAAATATATTAACTTTATCTAATGATATACATTTAAATGCATTTCCACCTCTCAAAATATTTAAGAACCTTATCTCTTTAATTTTCAAGCTTTTTGTTACCATTTTATTTAACAGATAGAGCTGGGATGTTACGTCCTTCATTATTAATAAATTAGTTGTTTCATTTATTTAAGCAATGTGCAGAATATTTTTGTTTCTTGAAAAGGAACTCTTGCCAGTCTCCCTTAAAATGTACAAATTTTCTATAAAATTAAACAAGTTAAATGTAAATATTAAGAAGAGGCTTGGAATTTATACCATTCTTATACCTATATGAATAAAAACTATTTCTAAACATACATGTTACTACTAAAGAACATTATTCAACATTTGAAAAATTTTATTATAATAATATCTATACATAAATGTTAATTACATTTTATGTTTAAAGATAAATATATACATCAAAATATTATTTCAATTTTATGCTCCTTACAACATGTGTAGAAATTCCAGTGGGCTCTCCTTCATATCGCTTTAATTCTCTTACAACCTCTCGGACCTAAAGTAATTACAACAGTCAATGAATTATAAAAGTTTAAAGTATGAATTTATATTTAAAATTTTTCACAGTATGACTGCTCCACTTTTAGACTGTATTTAAAGAAAATAATAATCTAAAAGTGCAGTAAAGTATTGCTTAAAACAAGGGCTGTGGAGTCGGTAGGGAGAATTGTAGGTAGATTGACCGACTCCCTCATATACAGTCAAATATGGAAAATCTGCCGACCTGAAATCCGCGTTGCCTCTCAGAATATACACATTCAATTTATAGGTTATGGAAACCGCAACATTGAGTACGAAATATTGAAGAAAAAAATACTTGCCGAATAATAACATCATAATTAACAAATAATAATGAGTCATAAAGGAAATACCAAATTATTGACATCCTGATAAAAGTTTTTTTCCCTCTAACCTGCATTGAGGTAAAAAACAGACGGTTCACTCAGCTCTTCTTTCAAGTTCACGATTGCCATTGTTGTAATTTCTGAGCTTTGTTATTTCACAAGATTATTTAGCGCTGCTTTTTTTTTATCCAGATATTTTGTAGATAAATTAAGAATATTTTAAATTTCAGCCCTTTTTAATACAATTACAGATTAGAAACGCACTCGTGATTTTACTGCTTGCAATGTTGAAAAATGTAAACACGTTGCATTGACAATAATGCAAATTCTACAAAAGATGGAGACAGGTGCTGCTCCTCGGTTTATAGCAGAATCATATGGAATTGCGTTACGACTGTGTATGATATACGGAAAAATAAAGAAAAGCTGTTGATATTTTACAGCAACAGTGATTCTAACACCGGAATCGGAAACCAGAAATCTTTGCATGAGGCGAAATCGGCAAACCTCGATGCTGTGTATATTTAATACAATGAATAATCAATTTATATATGTAATAATAATTTAATTCATATAATAAGTTATTGCAATAATGTATATAATAATTTAATTAAATGTATCTAATACGCCTTATTTATTTTGCACTTTTAGTCTGAATTTATCTTTTCTGTCTTGAAATCCGCACAACCTCTGGTCCCAAGCTTTGCGGATTTCTGGAATTCTACTGTATAAATATATACACATAGGTTACAGCTTATTTCTGTAATATAAAAGAAGTAATAGATGTTACAGGGAAAAAAAAAAAACATTGATGGCATAGCAGATTATTTATATTAATTAACATTTATTATGAAATGGAAAAACTGGCATTAGTTATTTCTAAGAAACAGTATAGCTTCGGCAATATCTTTGTTGGAGGACCATAGATCCGATTTGATAAATTTCAAAGCTGAGAAGAGTCTTTCCACACTAAATTGAGTAGGAGGAAGAGCTGTTACTGTTAGGTCTACTTCTTAACTTTTCAGGATAGATTTTTATAAGTTCCAAAAGAGGTGTCTTGCAAGCACAATCATATTTCTCTATTTCTTTAAAGGCCATGTAGAAATCTTGTTTGTACATGGCCTTTAAAGAAATTGTTTATTTTCATTCGCTTTGCCTTAGCCTTTTCAATATTATCCAAAAATATTTCTCAAAATCTAATTCATCAATGGAAAAGGATGATAGAGACTCAATTGCAATGTCTGCAGTTTGACTGTCTTGATTCAAATTCTTCATTTGTTCTGAGAATAATTTCATTCTTTATGAAAGTTCATAGATGGCTTTCTTTGCCTTTTTAATTTGTTCGTCATCCAAGAAAATTCAATGTTTGGGATCTACATATATTGAACCCAACAAGATCTCATTGTCTAGAAAACTAGTTTATATTTTCTTCATTGAAGAAATGATTCCTTCTGCCCTCCATTTCAGAAAGAACAAACTTCACATTCTTCCATTCTTGCCTCCTGTCAAATCTTCAGATTTCAGCCTTTTTGTGGCTATATATGGTGTAGAAAGAGTTTCCAATTCTGCAAGATCATTCCACAGTCTTTCTGTTAATGGAACATTAGAGTTATCTACATCTTCTAAAAAAGTTCTTAATTCTAACAACCTCTTTATCATCAAATATGTACTTCCTTATCACGCTGCTTTATCAATTTAACGCGCTGCTCCTTTTCTTGCTCGCTTCCTAAGAATGGCATCAATTTGGGAGTTTTTGCTGCTATTGCTGCTCACCTAAATTTATTTACCAGTGAGATTTGTAACTAAATGAATCAGTTTAATCACTAATGGCAAATATCACATCCATCTTCCTCCTTTATATTTATTTATAATATGTTAATAAAATAGAAAATAACCATTTATTAATGTATATTGTCCATAAATAAAAAGATTGTGATTAATTTTTTTCAATTCATTTTAATTTCTTTTCAAATTTAAACTGTCCAACAAAAACTGGAGTCAGAGTTGACCTGTTTTTAGCGACTCCAGCTCCGACTCCTTTTACCCCAAAATCTGCCCGACTTCGACTCCATAGCCCTGGTTAAAACAGTGGAATGCTGGAAACTAGCAGGAAAACTTTTACTGGATAATACAATAATTTGCAGTGAAAGACTAATATTTAATGTTAAGTGTCTTCGAAACATGCTTTCATGCAAACTTGTACTTACTTGTCCTTTCCTACGTATTTTTGCTTTCCTATACTTCATTCTATGACGAACTCTTGGATTCCTGTATTCCTTCTTGCGGTGGGGTACTAAACCTTTATTCTTGGCAATCTGAAAATTTTAATAAAAAATAATTTAAAAAAAAAACTGTAGTGGTTTTTAAAGAAGTGGTATTTACTATGTTAATGTACTTAATGATTAACTTGAATTACTAAATTAGAGCAAACTGGGAAATCAATGGGTACAAAAAAGCAGAGTTCTGCCATATGATTTCTTAAAAACTATTTCAATTGTTTATGCACAAAACCTAAACTTCTATAAGCAAACCATAATTCCTTTGCAAATCAGTTCTGTATTTGGTTTTCAGAAAGTAAATATAGCTATTTTTAAAATTCAACTGCTATGAATAGTTAGAAAATTAAATACCTCAAATATTAATGCTTTATACATACAGTAAAATCTAATTTAACAAAGACAAATTTTCATATGGTCAAGATGTCTCACTGAGAGATGTTGAAAGTAAACAAAAGGTTTGTTGCATTCTTGCCAAGGTATGTCATTTTCATTACTTTTTCCCCCAAATTGGCAGTTTTATGTAAAAAAAATTATCACTATAATTTTGCCTATAGTCACTTTCACACACAAATATTCCCATTAAAAAAATTTGATATCATGGAAAATTTATTCAACCAATCAAATGCATAGGATTTTGAGCCTGATTTACTTTAAACATTTCTGTTTCTGAAATTACAGACATTGTAATTAAAAATATTTCTCTTAAATGGTTGATGATTTTAATATAAACATTTCTTCAAACATAATCTGTTCATACACATGTGTCAAAATGTTTCTCACTTTAGTATTATGCAGCTGTTGGAATTTAAGATTGCTTTACAAGATACAGAAAATATTACAAATGCATTCATTTACATTTACCGGTAAAGAAGCTGCATCTTTTCCAGCTGTTTAAATTAAAAAAATTAAGGTGCATCTCATAATCTGCAAATCTGAATTTCTTTTCTACTTCTTCTTAGTCTTTTTTTTTTAAATGGCTGCACAAAACTAGTCTTCAAACAGCCATTACTTGGTGTATTATCAGCACCAACAGCTAAACAATTATCCAGAGAAACTGCATTTTCCTTCAAAGCTATAATAACAATGCTGTATTAAAGCCTGTCAAATCTTCAAGTAAGCCTTTCAAAATAGAGACACTGAGTAAACCACATTCAGTTCCTGAAGAGTATATTTAAAAAACAGCATTTTTGCAAGATACACTTTTCATCAGTATTATTACTTTTATGTGTAGAAAGGCAGAATAGAATTGTTTTAATGCAGCAACTCAAGATTTATTTTTTATATTAATTTCTTTAAAAGCTGCAGTCACTTTTGCTCTTTGAGTAATCTTAGCGATTTTGTTACCGGACATTTTTCTACATAAAGTTTTAGCATAATCACAGGCTTTCAGTGGCAGATTATGCTCCAATAAAAAGGTGAAAAACAGGCATTCCACATTATTAAATTTTTGGATCTTTGTTTTAGGGAAACAGAACCATATTCAAAACTGCCTACAAGCAAAACCAAAAACCAGTGATGAGAAAATTGTGAAATTTTGTGGTGGACTTAATGAAGGGATGAAAATTTCTTTCAGAAAAAAAGTTACAAACAGACCACCAGAGGTCAAAATATTAATAAATTATACATTTAGCCACAATAGTTTTGCAATTTTACAAATTCTGTTAGAGAGAGAGAGAGGGAAAAAAAAAAAAAAAAAAAACAGAAAATCCACACTATACTTCACTTTTGGTGAATGCAATGGAACTTCTAATACACCATTTAAAGGAAAATGCACTTCATCTGTCCAGAGGATATTTCCAGGCCACTATGAATCGAGCTCAAAGTGAGCAAGAAACTGAAGTGAGAACTGGAGTCGAGAGTCAAAAATCATGTGGAAAGAACTGATGCACTAGTGAAAGTTTATAAGGATAATATCTCATAAACTTATTGTTATTGTGAACAAACAACAAGAACATTGAAAACAAAATCTCTGAGAATGTTATTTCAAAGCTCAGACATGAAAAATGAGCAACGCCCTCGCTGGGACTTGGGACCTCTCGAATATGCATCGAGTTGTGCTGACCATTACACCATGAAGGCATGCATCCCCCTTTTAAAGAGCAACTGGGGATTAGGGGACCCAGTCGCCAAATCCTGGTGGTCCAGAATCGTCATCCACCACCTTTTTTTAGTTTGGGCACCACTGTAGAGACATTAGGATATTTCAAAGCAGGAGACTTGAAAAATGAGTGATGCCCTTGCCAGGACTCAAACCTCTTGAATATGCACTGAGTGTGCTGACCATTACACTATGAAGGCCTTCTAAGAAGGCGGGATAAATACTTTATAAGGTTTTAAAGTAAAATGCTCTTTGATGATGCTATTTATGACTAATTTCATTAAAATTTCACAATTTTCTGATCACTGGTTTCACTTGTAGGCAGCTTTGAAATAGGGTTTCTTGATTTTAGACACCTTGTATATTTCTTTATTTTTCAAATACAGTATATATTGTCCTTGGGCTTTTTGTATATATGCATACTTTAGAATACTGACCCTTCCATTGTGCAAAATCCAAAAATGGTAGAGACAAATAAAATCACTGTTCTTGATGAAATCTGTAAAAGATTTTTGAAAAATAAAACAATATTTTACTTTTTTTGCAGATATATAACCATGACAAAAAGTCACAAAAAATCTTAACATTTTCTTAAAGCATTTGAAATTCATATTATTTAGCAAATCATAGAAATTTAATGAGCAGATTGTATCTTATTTTATGCACATTGGCTGATACGTTCTATTTGACCTACAGCTTGATGTTCACGGAAGAAGCATAACATGATGTTTTTAGACACATCTACTCTCATACATGTAGCAAGCATGCCATTAATTAAAAAAAAAGGGGGGGAGGGAGAAATTGCTCTTATATGGTTGTGAGCAATGAAATATTAAGATATAAAATTTTAAAAAAATTAGAAATATATAGCAAATTGGACAGGTGAGAGTATGGTTGAAAAAGTCTGTGATCTAACTTAAAACACTGGGGGGGGATGAAGAGGTTCAGTTTCTAAACAAAAAGAATACTGAGTGTTGGCTTGGCATTTATTTGGGTGGCGACAACACTGACATCTGCTAAGTCAATATATTATTGACTTTCAGTTATCCTTCTTAACAATCAGACTATACTATATATTCTGTGCTACAGTTTGCTGAAGAAACAGTTGCTTGATTAACAAAAAATAAGCAACTCTACAGTTACCTGATATGTTATAATCCTTTTTTCACCAGATGCATCTTCCTCCATATCCATAGGTTCTTCACAGATTTCACCTCTAAATTAAAAATATAAATCATAAATAAAATAAAACATTATACATGTAAAAATATATAACAATCACAACTTTATTATTTTTTTAATCCAATACATTTCAAGCATATTAAATATTTTTTTGAAACAGCTATTTTGTAAATTCACAGCTTTGGCCAAATGATATGTTTCTATCAAAAAGTAAAATATATTTTGAAATTTTGTTTTAAACTGTGACAAGTACATAAAGAAATGACTTAGATGCTATAAAAATCATCAATCAAAAATGTATTTGTACGATATAATACTAACCCATAATTTATACAAATAGAAAACATACTTAATTCATTTTAATCAAGATGTTATATCAATTATATTTCATGTTTTCTTGTATTGCCAACAGTGATTTACTAATCAGCAGCAAAAAGGTTAAAGGGAAACGTTTTCTGTGAAGAATTTGCAAAATATTTTATCTTTGAAGCAATTTAAAAAAAAAGAAGAAGAAGAGGCAGAATTTTTAAACTGGCACTTCTTAAACGTTTTTCATTCAAAACCTTTTTTTTTTTTTTAATCACTGAGATACTGAGATTTTTCCTTGATCCAGATATTAAATATAGAATAAATTTATAAAAAAAATCTGAAAGGTTTCAAATTTTAAATTACATCCAAAGGGGCGTTTTTTTAACATTTTGTGTGTTACCTTTATTTATTAATTATTATGTTCTTCACACTTAAACCGTAAAATTCAGTTCAAGAGCAATATCACAAAATAATTTTAAAATGAGCATATCTTTAGAATTTCCATTACACAATATCTCACGCTAGAGATAAAAATATTTTTTCTATACAATGTTGCCACTGCTTGCTTTGAAATCATTGAGTGTGTAAATCAAAAATTCGCTTAAGTTTTACAAAATATGAAATGGCTTCCAGATACCCATATTTGAAGGATTACATTATTCAAAATTTGATGGCTCTAGGTACCATTGTTTTATCACAGTGTGAGAAATATACATGCATTTATGCAGATTCTTCATTATTTAATTTCTTTAAATATAATACAGGGTGATAATATTTGGTGGCAACAATTTGAAAAATGAAACAACGTGAAATGCCAAAACGAAATTAATAGTCCTTTTAGGCAAATTGCGCCTTTGGAAAAAAAAAAAAAAAAGAGACAAGTAGTCTAGTTGAATTTGCAAATGAAACTAATATTTTTTTTCATATAAACTGAGGAGCAGGCAATTGATTATAAAATTTAAAAATCTGTACTAGTAATATATGGCAGAATATTTACTTTTGCAGTGGTTCATATGAACTACATTCTCATATTATGCTTAAATATCAATACAAATACAGGTATACTTAAGATATTATGGGTTTGGTTCTAATTCATTGAAACAAAAACTGTCACATCTCCTAGTACATTTTAAAAAAAAATTGTACCTATTGTAATCTATGAAATAACAGGACTCTTTAATTTCCTTTTTAGAAATCTCCCAACATTCAAAATTCAAAAATGTATTTCATAGGCTGGATATTCATTGACATTGAGGCAGGAAATCATGCATCCTGCAAGGCCAAGCTTCGAATTTGTCCATTTACCTACTTTAAAATTTAATCCTTTTCTCTATGAGATTACATTTTCTGGTTCTTAATTTAAAATGAGAATCTCTAAATCTTAATTTGAAATGATAACCATCTTCCTCTAATTCAAGGAATTGATTCTAATTTCATTGTAATTATTGTGATTTGCCATCATCTTAAAGTATATGAACTTCTAGGCATACCTGCATGTTTCGTAATATCCCTCGAATTAACAGACTACTGTAATTTTTACAACACAAACTTTAACATACAAAATTATTTACAATTACAGTTTCATATCGACAGCTAAAGAGAGATGCTCTCTTCATGGCTGACTGAATGATCTGAACTGACGCAAGAGAAGAACTTCAAATTCATAATACACTCTGACAGTTGGATTCGTAATCCAATACTTCTATTATTTAAACACAATAGAATGTATAGTAAGAGTTATGACAGAAATATCAAATACGTAAATGGAACTTAAATACGATAATTAATAAACAGATATCACACGAATGTTTCATACAGATTTTTTACGTATATTGCCTTGTGGCAAGTGCATGTTCACAACTTTTACTCTCCCATCACTTCCACTGGATATTTCCTCACTCTTCCTGTTAACCACTTAGTATCTGGTAGGTCTTCTTCCTTTGGCAGCATTAAGGTCCCAACTTTTACAATGTTCTTACTCAGTTGCCATTTATGATGTTCTTGCAGATTATAAAAATAATTTTTTTTCCAAAGTTTCCAGATCATTTGAGAGAATTTAGAAACCTTTTCCCATTTGCTAAGCCTATTTTCACTGATATCTGTAATTAGCAGTTCTGTGATGGGTCTCCCAATAAGAAAATGCCCAGGAATTAGAGTTTTAAAATCATGAAAATCAGCTAGCAATGAAGTCAATGGTCTGGAGTTTAGAACTCCTCCAGATTCCGCTAAGACTGTAAGAAATTCTTCCAAAGTAAAATTATAATTTCCGGCTAGGTATTTTAAATGAAAGCTGAGGAATTTTATGCCAGCTTCATATGATACCTCAAAATTAGAAAATCCAGGAGGGTTAAAATGCCAATCATTTTCCCCCTTAGTGAAATATTGAACCAATGGTTCATCTGGAGAATTTATAATTTTTAGAAGTCATTTTAGTTCAGCATCTATGCCAATAAAATTTCATACATTGTCTATGAAAATCTTAGAAGACTTACCTCTCCTAGAGAAAAATCTTTTCAAACTAGCAATGAAACCTGCTGATGTTAAATCACTCACAAAGTCTAGTGTACAAAAACATACATAAAATGCTACATATATCTTTCACAATACCCCTTTCCTCTACTTTTGAATTTCGTGTAAAAAAGGCCCACGAAATCTATATCAATAACTGTTAATGCAGGAGAAAGTTCTATGCATTCCTTAGACAGCTGGCCCATCAACTGTTGCTCTAAGACTGCTTTGTTTTTTGTGCACATCTGCACAAATTCTTGACATTTAACAGTCAATACTTCTTATGTATTAGGTGCAACAAAGTCTAGGTCCTACATGCAAATATTTCAAAGGAAATACTGTACAATCATGCAAGTTAAGTTATGTTTAGATGACAGGACAATAGGATGTTTAATGTTATCATTAATACTAGAATTGATTATTCATCCTCCAATGCAAATAGGCCCATTTTTATGAAGAAAGCAGTTGAGAGAAGATAATTTACATTTACTCTTCACATTCTCACATTTCATTATGACAGAAATTTCTTCCAAACACCAACTCTGGGCAAATTTTAAAAGAAAAAAATTTGAATCGCTCAACTCTTGACACTTTAAATACCCACTTTTCATCTCTTTTGGATTTCTACAGTTATAGATAAATCTGAAAACAAAAACTATACGAATAAGTTTAGAAAAATTATTTGTAATTTTAAGCAAATTATTATGAAACAAGACATTTTGGTTAATTACACCAAAACATACATTCCCTTCTACACAGGAACCCCCTTTTCAATTCTGAAATCTAATATTCTTCAGAAGCTGAATTATTGCACTTACTGAGACCTAATTTTTCCCCAAGAATTCAGGACCTGACCACCAGGTCTCATTTTTTTAAAAAGACCTTCTGCATTAACCCCTCTTATCACAAGGTTAGCATATATTCAATTTACCAAGTATGTATGACCAAGCTTCAGGGTTGATAAAAGCCTGAATCTCTTTCACACGACTGGAGACAAATTGTTTCCACTTACAATGAGGTCTCTTAATCCAGAACAATGTGATCTGGGAATCTGTCCAAAAATAAAATGTACTTGTCCTGTTTTGTTTTATAATTTGTTCTACTTCCTTCACAAGTCTGGCTGTGAGTAATGCCTCATGAATTTCAAGTTTCGGTACAGCCAGTTTCTTTAATGGGGCAACATGACTCTTCAAAGCAATTAAGTTCACTGAAATTCTGTCAACATATTTAACTCTGAAGTCCACTGCAGTTCTGTATACCTTTTAGCTAGCATCAGAAAAGGCATGGATTTGAAGTTGGTTGGCGTCACCTAGCCTACAATTGAGAATCATCCTAGAAGCTTTCAAGTTCATAATATCAGACAACTCAAACCTCCATTGAGTATACATTTGAAGATGGTCTGCTGGAAGTTCTGTATCCGACGAACACTTCCTAAGACACAGTTCTTGAAAAAGACATTTAAGTCTGTGAACGGCATTAGAAGACCGAGTACATAGTACAATTTGCCAGCTGTTTTTAGCACAATTCTTTTTGTAGCCCTTTTACTTTTATTGCATTCAAACATGTGTTTCACATCAGTAGTTGTGTAGTCTTGGTGTGTATTTTAATTACGGCAAAGCACACTAGGGCTATCTGCCCTAAGGGGAGGGATGCCTTCATGGAGGACTTTCCAAGGGAAACTGTCTCACATACACATTACACATGGGGAAAACACCCATGCAGCCAGCCTGTTCGTGGGATTTCGAACCTCGGACCGAACTACCAGTGTTCAGCGACTTTTACCGCTTGGCCGCTGGTGGGCCAAATTGTTATGTAGTCTTCGCACATGCCATGGAAGACCAAGAAACTTTTGTAGCTTGTCACTAGGTTTGGCCTCTGAATGAATGGGATGGGTTTTGAACCTGTTATCTTCTGGTGTTTGTACCAGTTCCTTGCTGTTGGAACTCCACTTACATTCAATCCTGCATCAGCCATAATAACATTGGCTTCAAGCAACATCTGAAAGGCAGATGAGACACTATCAAGGGCTCCTACCAAATTGTTGACATGCACACATTTATCGAGCATTTCCACTGTGTCGAGATGCAACAAGAAACTTTTCAATGTGTTCCTTGATAATGGCAGACACTAAGAACAGACTGCCGTTGATAACTAAGAAAACACGGCAAAATTTGAAATTATTGATATAACAATGTTAATTTATACTTAGGTTTTTATGGAGACAGAACAGAATGATGTGATGAACCTGTTAGGTTGTATCAGACTCTTGCTATGTAATATTCTTAAAATTAAATGTGATATTTGTAACTTAAACCTGTTAATAAATTATTGTTACACTACAAAGAACTCTTTTATAAGCCCATCCAATATGACCCCTCCACAACACAAATTTCAATTTTTGGTCTTTGTGTAAAACTGGTTCTAAATTTCTTACTTTATGTGTTTACTTATATATATGAAAAAATGTTCAAAGTAAACAATGCAAATGAATAGAAATTTTCAAAATAGCTATTTAAAGAACTATAGTTCAACCATTCAATTCAAACACTTAAAATGAAATTCTAAAAAGAAAATCTAAAAATAAAAGCTGCAATTAAACAAAAATATGAAGCAAAAATATATGTAAGGAAAATCCCCCCCTCCCAATTTGTGCAGAATGAAAGGGAAACTGAAATAGGTTACTGAAAACAGAGAAGTTCACAAAGTAAATTATGCTTGGCACAAAGAAGAAAAAAAGTGTGCCAAAGTAAATTTTCAAATTATTGATTAAAATTCACAAAATTTGACTCGGGTATTACGGCGAGTTGCAGAATCAAAATATGGGAAAAAAAAAAAAGATTTGCAAGAAAAGTCTGATTTTGTGTCAAAATATGTATGCTAGAACAATGCTATGTATAAATTTAATACATATCCTATGTTGTGCTTTAAAGACATGAAAAATGCAAAAATGCAAGTTGAATTTCGTCAATCAGCCCAGTAAAATGAGAGATATAGAACTGTTCCATTTTTTTTTTTGACTGAGTGTACAACTATATAATAATGATAAAAATATAGTCAGAATATTACACAGAAACATAGGCGAAAAAATGCTGTTAACATAATGTTGCTGACTGATAAAATTGATGCAGGATCATTACAAACCAAACAATTTTCACTTACAGATTTTTTTCCTGTTCTGTATTTTCTTTCTTTTGTTGCTCCTTCATATCCATATATAATGAAAAGATTTCTTTTTCTGCTTCTGTTTCAAACTGTTTATTTTTCTATTATAATAAAATCAAATTAATGTAAACTTTATATTTCCCATGTGATACATAACAATAAAAACACTACATACATATTGTTACGAAATGTAAAGGCGTGGTGAGATGGCTTCCTTGCAAAGCAGTTTTAGGGTTGCCACATTTGGCACCAAAATTGGCAATTTACCATGGACGGTTGGAGAACTTTCTGGAACGAATTCTTAACCGGTTTAACCCAGAATGTTCCTGGACACAAGCCAAAAGCTATATAAACCCTGCTGGTCTGCAGTCAGAGAGTGTGCGTCTCTCATCGAGTGAGTGTGTATTGTCTAGCGAGTCAATCCCTGCGGAAGTGATCGCGTTGACAGCCGGCCAGCGAGTGCCGAGTGTGTCGTCGAGGGCACCGAAAGATTCTCGTAGAGCATTGCGGTTAGTGCATCGTCGAGAGAGTGTGTTGAGCTCCGGCAACGACTGAACCGAGAGTCAGGAGCTGTGCTCTGTGTGTCGTTGAGTGTATTGCGAGTTGTAGTGTAAAGAGTCTCGAGAGTACGTGGAGTTCCGAGAATAGACGACTGTAAAACGTGTTTTGGAGCTGTCCTGACAATGATAATAAAGGTGGAACTTCATCAAGTTCATGTTATCACTCCAAATCTATAGTCCCATAGAATGTGAGCGAAGAAATCCATAAAACTGGTATCGAAAAAAAAACGTACAATATTTAACAATTTTAACAGAGTCCGTAAAGCAAATAATTAACATAAAGACAATACTTACAACAGTATTTCTGTTTTTTTTTTTTTTTTTTTTTTTCAGGTTTACATTTATGTATGTAAATGATATTGGCTAATAAGGGATTAAATGATACATGTATTATATGCAAATTATCAACATTCTTTTCACTTTTATTACAAAAATTATATTAAATTTAACAAATATTAGCCTGGTTATTATTTCTTGAGGACCATTTTGAGCTTCTTTAATGATATATGGAATAAAATGTATTACCAAAATTTATAACCATTAAAATACAATTTTTTTCCCTTGCACTGGGTGTGGAATCATAATTCTTCATTCATGTTTTTCCTGAAACTGCAAGTCATTGAAGCACATCCTTTCCATTTTTGACCTTCTCAGAACAATAATTTTTTCTATGCATATTTAATGTCACATTTATGAAAAACCTCTGTATACTACAGAAAATAATATACCCTCTTTTCTTGTTTCTCAGGTACTAATTTTACAGTATTTGTTGCTGTTCTGTAAAACAAAAAATAAAGAAAGTTCAAGTTAAGCATCAAATAATATAAAACTACATAAATTTAATGCATAAATAACACAGATTATATATGAAAAATTTAAAAAGAATTTTAGTAAAATGCAAAATTACTTTTGAGGAGGAGAAATAATTCGCTTTGGAGCAGCTTCTTCAAAACTGATTTCCTCATTTTGTTTCAGTTTTTTCAAAATAATATCTAATTCAGGAAGAATAGTTTCATTGACATTTTCCAATTCATCCAGTAACTAAAGTATGAAAATTTTGACAGTTAAATATTTTTATGTTATTAGTTGATAAAAACATGCACAACGGAAATTTTCCATTACTTAATATTATGATTTTTAATACATAGTGCATCTGAAAAATTGATAAAATCATTTTATTGCAATCCATTGATTGCTGTGCATTTGATCATTTATGTACGAGGGCCATCCAGGAAGTAGATTACGTTTCCGTCTGTGTCCGCTAGGGGCGGGGCTAGCGCGGCCATCTTGGGGTCAGAGCGTTGCGCAGCTCATCTGACTAGCCGTGCTAGTGAGAGGTGGTGCTGTGCTCCGTTCAGATACTGTGATGGTTGAAATGTCTGCGTTATGAAAACCCGCGAGCTGCGAGGTGCGCTCAGTAATAAGGTTTCTGCCTGCAAAAACTGTAAACCGATAGAAATCTATCGGCAGCTTCGTGAAGGTATGGGACAACATATCACTGAAGGGGAGGCGTCAGGGGTCTAAGATTTCAAAATGGCCGACAATGTTCACGACGAAGATCGAAGTGGGAGACCAGCATAAGTGACCGCCGAACTTCTCGAAAAGTCGATGCTAAAGTCCGTGAAAATGAAATTTCACAATAACGGAACTTCTTTGAGTTTTCCACAAATTTCGCGAATTTTTGCACGAAATCACAGCGAAAAGCTTGGTACAAATTTTGTGCAGATGGATTCCAAAAATCTTGACAGAGGACCACAAAAATCAGCGAATGGCTGCACGTTGAACTTTGGACGCTACCATAAGGATGGTGACTCTTTACTCGATCGCAATCGTTAATGGTGACGAAACATGGGTGAAACATGTGAACTGTGAAACGAAATTGCAATCAAAGTGGGGGCACACAATTCTCCCCAAAAACCCAAGAAATGCATGCAAACATGTCGGCAAGGAAGATGATGGGACTGTTTTTTGGGACAGAAAAGGTGTATTTTGGTGGACTTCCTGAAAGAGACTACAAAAACTCTCAAAGGTATTGCCAAACTCTCCAAAAACTCAGAAGAGCAATTCAAAAAAGCGCAGAGGAATGTTGACTCTAAGATCTTGTTGATTCACGACAACGCCCGGCCCCACACGGCAAATGTCCGTAAAGTTCTTGATCTTTAAGTGGGAGTGTTCCTCATCGCGTACAGTCCCGACCTGCACCGAGCGATTCCACTATTCCCAGCAAAAGAAGTGGCTGGTATGCAGCGTTTTGATGACCCGCACAGCGCAAGAGAAGTAACGAAGTGGTTGAAGGCGCAGGCGCCGAATTTTTGACGAGGATTTCCAAGCCGTACATCGCGACGATAAATGCCTTAATTTGTATGGTGACTATGTAGAAAAGTAGTTGAGTGTTAGCTTTATCTGTATATAATAAAATTTGTTTCCTATACTTTGTTTATTTTTTTATTCCAAAACGTAATCTACTTTCTGGATAGCCCTCGTAATCTGTAAAAATTATCCATCATGCATCTAAGAATGCATGATAGGGAAAAATAACTCAATCCTGCTTCAGCTTCAAGCAATAAAAAATAAATAATATGATACAAACAATAGGATATAGCTCTAACCAGGGTTGGTAAATTTCTTGCATAGTGGAAAAAACTGGCAAAAGAAACTGTTTTTTTAACCTTATTTCAGGTTTATACATTGTATTTTGATATTTATATTTTATTAATATGTCACACTGTAATACTGTTAATTTAAATATTTTTATTTTCTATATTTATTTAATTAGTTCTTTTTAGATGTTTGCAATAACCTTTTTTTGATTAATGTGTGTGTGTGTGTGCATGTGTATGTATATAATAAAGTTGCTCCACACTTTCAAAAACAATATGTTATGGAAAATTCTCAACTTTTTTAAGGAGAAATACACTGGCTACCAAATTATTAAAGATCTAGTACTCGACTTTTGCTATTATAAATTGCGTAAAAATAATTTCTCCACAAAAAGACTTTTTGTACAATTTATTTCAAACACCCATCCTATGCTAGAATCAAAATTAATCAGATTTTTAACAAGTATCAAAATCTACTACGATTACCAACCAACACGAAATAGATAATGAAGGTATCAATTTTCAAGACCACCACTTTAAATGGATTATTTACAATAACGAGAAATTCTAGAAGCACTACAAACTCTAGATATTGAAAATATTAATTGTTCCGAGAGTGTGCTTGGCGCATGTAACTCTTCTCGAAGAAGGGTTAATGTATTTTAAGAGAGTTGCATGTTAGCCTCAGAAGAGGAAGGATGTAGATTTTGCCCTGCGGTAGGAGCAATGTACAGCTCTGAGTTGCTGTTACGCTTTGAACCATCTTTTTAATAAATGTTCATTTCGTCTTGTTAAATGGGGCCTTATTAAATCACGAAGTCATCACACCTACAAATTTCTTTCTGTTTCTCAGCCAGATGAACATTATGAAAAACATATGTTTATAGTTATCTAAGGAATGTATGCTTCCTACAAAAAAAAAAAAAAAAAAAAAAAATTAATGGCATTTTGATTGAGGTTAGACTAACTGCTAAAATATATTCAAAATAAAAGATATGTTTACAAATACATGTAAACCAAAAAAAGGTATACAAGACAGAGAAGTACAAATTTAAGATAATTTTTAATGCGGTAGAATATTTAAAAGGTTATCAAATTTTATTTCTAAAGCACATTATTAATTTTTACCTATTTCAAAAGAAAAAAGAAAGTGTGTTAATGCCTATCTCATTTGCTATAGCAGTTTGAGATAGTCAGAAGTTTATTTTCTTTAAAAATAAATGTGTATGCAGAAGTAGGACATGTATCGCACTAATAGAAATGGGCCTTAATTCTGAAATCATGCCTTTTCTGGCAGTTTCAGAAGCTTTATGAACGTTATGAATAACAAATTGTAGCATAAAATAATTACTTTGAACACCGTTTAAATTTGTTTTTCTCATGTTTTGTTTGTTTTCTGATTCACAGAACTTTCGAGACATCCTTTGTATTATGAATTGATAAAGTTTGTGGTTTCTGCCAATGCATATGTAATTTTACTTTTGGGTAGAGGGCAAAAAGATTACTGGAACTTTCAAGAAAAATTCCTTAAACAATTTTCTGCATACATAACATTTTATTTTTGAAACATTCCAGAATGCAGCCAAATTTTGCAAGAAACTGCCAAATGTTTACAATTTAATGATAAAATTTGTTGTTGCGACTTTGAAACTATATTTAAAAATTTTTTCACTGTTTACAAAATTCTAAGTGTTACATGCACAAAATTTAACAGAATAAAATATAATAATCTAATTCATACTAAAAAATACACATAATTATTACATATAAATTTTAAGGGAGGCAAAAAATAGAGAAGAAATGTTTATAAAACTATAATAAAACAAAACAAAAATTAGATAAATAAATAGCAATGAAAAAAGCATGTATACTGCTAAAAAAAAATGGGACAGTTCTATATCTCCCATTCTACCAGGCTGATTCACGAAATTCAAATTGCGTTCTTTGTGTCTCGAAAGCGCAACTTAGGATATATATTAGATTTATATA